ATTTACTCTGAATTTTCTAAGTGTCCACAGTCACCCTTTGAAATTTAAAATTCAGAGTCTGCCCTAGTCCAATAAAAAAGTGTAGGGGCTGCATGGTCTCAACCATGGCTTACTGGGCTCACCTCTTTTGTAAAGTCTGTGGATCATGGAGGGAGAGGTGGGCAGGCACCCCAAGCCACATCTATGCTAGTGCCTGTGGATGCACTTTTCCAGAACTAGAGCCACTGCCCATCTCCCCAAAGGAGCGACCACCATCCTTGGAAGCCTCCTTTTGAAATTCCTCCAGTCATACCTGGGCTGTGAGATGACTATTCAGCTCCCACTGGGCTGGCTGACCTGGAGTTTCTCTGTGGGGAGTACAATGGGTTCCCCCATGGAATGTCACCAGAGAAGCATGAGAAAAGTAGGATCATTTGGTGTTTTCCCACCTCCACTCCTCCAAGTCTTCATCTGTACACAACTTAGTGAGGTCTAGAGACCAGCCTGGCCTGTCCAAGGACACACCGCTAAGCTAAGGAGCAAAGTCAGAGTTGGCATCGCATCCCGTGGCTCTGCTCGCTTGACGGAGTTGGCCTGCCCATTTCGTCTGGACGGGAAGGGTGCTCCACCAGAGACCCTCTCTTTGCTCTACACACTTAGCATTTGCAGATCCGCACAGCAGGGGCCAGCAGACTGGAGGCCATCCTTCCTAGCTAACACTCTTGTTGGTGCCATAGCACCTGCCACTTACTTCCTTCACTGATATACCTTTGCGGTACTTGAGCTGGCTTCCAGCACTGTGGTTACCTGGATGGAAGTGGGTTGGGGTGAAGGGCTCTGCTCACCTGCTCAGCTTTGCTGCAGGAAAAGCCCTCCACATACCAGCCTGTTTCTTGTTTCCCTAAGCAGGTGCGCTCTTCCTTTTTACTCTTTGTTAACAGCTCCTTTTCACTAACCCAGAGAAAGAGACTCCCTGCCCCTTTTTGTTTATCCAGCACATTCGCTGAGACCCCACTGCAATCACCGTCTATGGCAAGATTTGCCCTGATCAGCGCCCACCTCTCATACTGGATTTGTCACATTATACCACAGCTGTTTGCATGCCCATCTCTGTCTCCTCATGGCCATCGCAGCAGGGGGGCTTAGAGCACTAGGGTCTCTGCAGCATGCATCCAGTTCCGGGTCCCTTCAGCATCTGGCACATGGTGAGATGTTCAATAAAATACTTGATAGGTGAGGACAGGCTACATGGTTTAGTGAGAAACAAACTCAAGTGAGAAAATCTGGGATTGGGTTTCAGTCTTGATGCTTACCATTTCTATGACCTTAACAAGTCATTGAACGCTTTAACATGGAGTTACCAACTAAATGGCTTACCTATACCCAGGGCTTACATTCAGCTGATATGGCTATGGAGTTATTAAAATATGAAAACATTTCTGGGCCAGCTGGTAAACAGTCTTCACCCCAACCACCTGGAACCCCCAAACCCCTTGACAGTAACCAAAGGGATAATGCACCTTGGGAAGCTTCCAGAACCCTGCTTTGGCACCTTTTCTGATAAGTGAGCACACTCCTTTTCTGCTGATATTGTGAATATCACCCCTGACTTGACCACAGGGTTGGGGTGACATCAAAAGCTATAGTTCACGTGAAAACACCGTGCAGACTGTAAAGGGCTGGTTACACATCCATCCTGTCCATCATCCCGGGAAGGCAGCAGAGCCATAACGGAGGGGAGGGGGCCTGGTACTGAGTTGTAGCTCCCCCTCTCTGTAACCGAAGGCTGAGGGAGAACTTGGAGGGGAGGGCACGAGATGCTCCTGAGCTGACGGAAAAGGGCCCACACAGAAGTGCAGGTGCCTCCCAGGAAGGCAAAGGGCGGCTTCTCACGAGCCTCCTTAAAACCACCTGTGGGAATTCCTCACCGCAGCTGCCTGCGATTCAATCTGCAGCTCTTTTAAGCACACACACACCATCAGCCCCGTTCTCCTGCTGAGGCCCTCTCTCTCACAATTAGAAGTCCGTTGTACTGGCCCTGAGCTTCGCAGGTGTGCCCCTCAGTAGGACAAGAGCAGCGGGGACGTGAAGGGCAGGGCGAGGAGAGCAGGCTTGCTGAATGAGGGTTCACACGATCTGGTATTCATGGAAAATTGGATGTGCTAATGAACCTGAGATCCATCAGGGCCTTCTGATGGCAGGCTGGTCTCTGTCAACAGACCAATTAGCACACAATTATTTCTCTTTCTGAAAGCTTATCGGAGAGGCTCTTTGAACAGGTGCGCCTGAGTGAGCTGCACTTTCCTTTACCTCCTTGGGCCCTTTATAATCTGCCGGAGCTGTCTGCCTCTTCGACAGAGAGCAGCACAGGGCTCTCTGGACCAACCCTGCAGGGACCTTCTTCACAAGGAGGGGCCCTTAGCCATCCTGCTTATCAAGTCTGGGCTCAGGCAGTATCTGCAAGGAGACCCTCTCCACTCCGTCTCTCCTCCCACCTCCGGACTTGTTACTGGTCAAGGGAGGCCCGAGATGGCACAGAGCAGGATAGCAGTGGGGACGGCAATGACTCTGGGACCCAGGGAAACCACAGAGGGCTTTCCTCACTCGTGGAGGCCCACCCTGGAGCCCTCTCTCGAACAGGAAATGAGTGTGGGCACCATGGTCTGTGCTTCTTCCTCATGTGCCATAATTAATAAAGAGAAGCTACTCACTCTTTCAATGGCTCACCTAACTGTCCTCTTGTGGAACTGACCTCTGGAAATAGCAAAGTGAAGGTCAGGAGAGAGTATCAGAGGCAGCCCCCTGAATGCTAACAAGGTGGCCATGGGAAAGTAGATGAATTGGCAGGAGGGTCAGAGAGAGGGATGGAGGGAGGGACAAAGGAGAGGAAGTGGGTGTGGTTTTCCTCCTGGTGGAGTCATCCTGTTCTTACATAAGGTGTGCAGCGCCCTCCCTGCCTGGACCTGATGCTGCTGAGGGACTGACTCAGGCCTGAGCGGATGGAAAATCCAGTAGAGAACGCTGACAGCGCGCTGGCCAGCTTACCTGGGGCCGGGGACAGGCAAGCCTCCCAAATACCCCACCTACCACCCCCACCTGTGCTTCGGCCCACGCCATCCCAAGAGGGGCAGGGATTTTCTGAACGAGTGGGCTAGTCCTTAGTCACGGCTCTTCGTATAGGGAGTTTTAGACCTTGCAGGTAAAGAGCACTGGCCCTGTCACAGTCTTGGTCCCATTCTTCATTCAGGCTAAGTCTTGCTGCTTCTCATGGACTATGTCTATTGTTGCCGCTTGGTCTTTGTCTGCAGTTACCTTTTTCCCTCTGAATTCCCTCCCCCATCCCTCCCACTCCTACTTATCCTTCAAGACCAATTGATGGCGTCCCTCCTCCATGAAGCCTTCTTTGAGTCCTTTAAGCTACAAGGACCTCTCCCACCTCTATCCCCACTATATATGAAGTCAGTAGCCACCATCTCTCACGTGATTACTCTGTTCCACATGTATTTTTTAAGCCTGAATATCTAAAGTCCCTGTAAGGATGTCACTCATATTTGGTGTTCACCATGGTGGCCAGCAGGGTGCTAGACACACGCATACACTACACACTTTCACGCACACGTGTTTTAGGTCATGCTGCCCCTTCTTCCTTTTCGGAGTGCCTGTCCCTTCTTGTCTTCCTGTTCACTTCTGACTTATATTTAAGGGTTAACTCAGCTGGTATCTTCTCTGCTACTCTATCCCTGTTTCCCCTTGGTTAGAGCTAGCTCAGCCTTCCTCGGTGTTCATGACACGTGGCTTCTGCTCGACTTGGGTGTATGTACCTGCCTCCCCTATAGGTTGTAGTCTCCTGGAGGATATAGTATATAATGTGTATATCTTTGTGCCCACCCCTCCACCCCCAAAGCTATTACTCATATATTATCCAATTTATTGAGTACCTACTATGTGCCAGACACTGTTAATTGCTGTTGACAACATGGTGAGCCAAATTAACATGAGCTTACATCTCTGGAGCCTCTAGTGTGCAGAGGACCAGACATGAATGAAATACTCGCAGAAAAGGATGGAAAATTGCAGCCCTTAAGCCTGCTGCCAGGCAGAGGTGTCTGGAGCTGGGAGAGGTGGGTCAGAGGGCTCAGGTGGATTTCCTTGAAGAATTTGGGGAACAGCACTCTATGAATGTTTGATGAATTGCATGGAATTGAAACAGTGACTGCTGGATAAATACTCGTTGATTGGTTGATTGATTGTTGGTAAAGCCCTCGGAGATGTCGAGAAGAAAGGCCTCTGGTCTCAATCATTCTTATTACATAATTATTTCACTGCATGTAAAGCGCCCCATTTTTCATCCTCTACTTTAAACATCAGGGAAAAAAGCTGATAGGCCAACTTTATAATATTTTTTAATGACTCTATGGTGTTTTGGAATATTACATGTCTATAAGAGTTTATGTATATTTAATACACTTATTAAAATATGCAGTAAGCCCATGGCTGATGTTCTCTAAGGACGTCTCAGTGCCGAGGTGGGACTTAAATGTTTAATACTAATAATAATACCCATAACTCATATTTCTCTAGTGCTTTTCATCTTTGGCATCCCCAAAGCCTGTACGCAACATGTCAAGTGGCAGCAGCTGGGCTCCCCAGCAGGCTGACAGCGTCCATATCTGGCCTCCTGTCTTCCTCTGGAGGCGGAGAAGGGGGGACTCGAGCTGAAAGGTCCAGCTTCCTCTGCCTATGTTCAATTTTCTCCTCCCAGACACAAAGTCTTTTTGGCTCCCTCTGAAAGGCTCCCACTATGTACAAATGCTGCTGCCAGCCATCCACCACTGATAGTCACTGTCTTAGAACAAGAAAGCAAAGTGGCTTTGTACTCCTGGGGCGGAGGAACATATGCCATCCTTCTGTCCAGTCAAGGACAGGTCATGGGGCCTGAGAGTGGATGTCTGGAGAAGAGACTTGCAAAGGGACAGTCTCACCTTGTTACCTAAACCCACACTCTGCCCGTCCTTCTCTAGGTCACGGAGACCAGGACTGGTCCTCTGGGCTGCAGCAACTACGACAACCTGGACTCGGTCAGCTCTGTCCTGGTGCAGAGTCCGGAGAACAGAGTGCAGTTACTCGGTAAGTCATGCAGTGATGGCTGTCACACTGTTCACACCTGGTGAAAAACTCGGATCACCAAAGAGCAAGAAGTCCTGCCTGCCCCATTTGCTCAACGCAAATGTCTTAAGACAAGAACTACCAACAGTTCTGGGACTTGTATTTAACAACTTTTCATCGTTCTTCTGAGACAACTTCTTCCATGGTTTGCCCTACATTCAAGACCCGTTGCTCGTACAACTCAATATCCAAATCCTGCCCCCCATAAGTCCTTCCAAGAACTCTGTTCCAATCCTTCAGCAACAGCATATCCATCCTTATAAGCCTTGACCTATTGTAGTTCAGTGATCTCCTTTGTTGTCCAAAGAACCCTCTGCTTTATCCTAAGACTACATTGGGAATAGCTGGCCTTTGCAGAATGATTATGGGGCCTCCATCTCTAAGCTGAGCTAAGAACTATACAAACTGTGGAAGCACTGGTTACCCTGAGAACAGTCCCTGCTTTCTGCTATTAGTCTGCAATCTTCCATGGGAGATCAAAGCCAAGACAAGAGTTTGAGAGGAAAGGGATCCTCCACTGGAGGCAGAACAGGAAACACAAAACAGGAAAACAGGAAAGTGAAAGGAAAGGGGACTACACTAGGTCAGGAGGCTGGGAGAGAAGGGGTGGCACTCAGCTCCTGCTCTCTGTCCCCAAGCATCCTGCGGGCAAGGCTGCACAAAGTGATTCCGACAGAGCTGTTTGGCAGTGGGAAAAGTCCATTTTTCTTAAGGCCTAAGTGAACTGGACTCTGCTAAAGATATTATTGTCTCAGTATTATAAAATCAATAGTCCTCACCCAGGATCTATGATTACAAATTCCAGGCAACCTGAGCCAGAGGTAACCCATAAATGCTTTAGGAATCAAGGAATGGTTAATAAAGAGGAGTAAAAGACTCCCTTATTTAGAGGCACCTAATGCAGTTAGCATCCCTCTTCTCCTATGTCCCTGGATGGGCTGGATGTGCGTCTGGAAATTAGTGATGAGTGAAGTTCAGAATCTCTGGCGGTTCATTTGGAATAGTTTATGCCATTTAATTTTATAGCCCATCACTCATGCAGACATTGCTCCAGGCACTTACTTTACAGCAATGGGAAATGTGATGGCGAGGAGGAGGGAGTAACGGGGGAGGTGAAAGGAGCGGACTTGCAGAGGGGTGGGCGTTGAAAGCGAGCCTCTGGGCAGGATGGGTGGGGAGGACCGCCACTGCGGCCACAGCGTGCAGAAAGGAAAATTCAGGAGCAGTGCGGAATAGGAGGTAAACCTCAAACAAGAACACCCAACATCTGCGACTGCTGCAATTCTCAGTTGTATGTTGAGGTCTGCTGAGTCGGGGGTACAGACTTTGGACCCTCTGATTTCCTGCCAAGGACAAGGTCAAGGGTGTGAAAATAAAGAGCTGGCAGGCATTTGAGGAAAGGGGAGCTCGCCATATCCAGAAGTCCCCGTGTCCCTCACTCTCCTGGCACGAGCTCTCACAATGTCCCTACTGGGGGCGCCTCCTGCAGGTCTGGCCTCCAACCTGTCAGGCTGTGTCCAAAGACATGCTTGTCCTTCCTTCATCCCTTGATTCCCTTCCAGCAGCCACCCCGGTGGCTTGACACCAGGTGGGAGTATATTCTTGCTATTGGTAAACTAAGATCCACTACAGATGGGTGGGAAACCGGAAGCAGAAGTGTTAGTGGATTATATCCAAGATCAGAGGGCACTAATGCATCCCTCTCCAGGCCTGACTGATCTTGGGGTATCTATCACTATCCTACTTTCAAATCTCCTCCAGAGTTAAATCATATGGAAATGAGGAAGCTAGTTCCAGTTATGCGGTGTGACTGGACGGGACAAGGGCAGGGTGTGACATCAAGCCGACCTTACTAGTACTGTGGCTTGGGCAGGTCGCTGACGTCACTGGACTTGGGTTTCCTCTCCTACTAGAGCCTCAGCATAACCAAAAGCGCTATGCCACTACATACCCACATACCTGCCTCTACTTCCTCACCAGGGTTAGGATGGGAGGCCCAGGAGGATCAGCATTCGCTAACATCCTAGGATGCCTGCTGCTAATCTCAGTGAAGCTAGAAACAGGATGGCTATCAGAGGCAAAGCAAAAAGCCCATCAAGGCTTGATTCCTCCCCCATGAGAGCTGTAAGCTCTTCTTTTATCTGAAACATCTTCCTGTTTCCATCCTAGAAATGCTGATGTGTAGCCAATAAGCCCGTTCATATGATATGCACGCTCTCAATTTGGCTGATGTAAGGGGTTCAACTAAGCCTTGGGCTTCGATGTTCCCATTTGCATTTTCAGATCCTCCCCCATCTGTCACTGGGGTAGCCGCAACTCTCTCTCCCAACCAGCTCAGCAGGATCAGGCCCTGGGGTGACCATTCTTGGGCCCAGGATGCACAAGGCAGCAGAACCCCAGATGGGGCTCCTGCAGCCTTGCAGGAGGAGAAAGGGCTCTGCCTGGTGATTCCCTGACAAGTCCTTTCCCTAGGCCTGCAGGTGCTGCTACCCGAGTACCTGCGGGAGCGCTTTGTGGCTGCGGCGCTCAGCTACATCACGTGCAGCTCTGAGGGCGAGCTCATCTGCAAGGAGAATGACTGTTGGTGCAAGTGCAGCTCCACCTTCCCAGAATGCAACTGTCCTGACGCTGACATCCAGGCCATGGAGGACAGCCTGCTGCAGGTCCAGGACTCCTGGGCGACTCACAACAGGCAGTTTGAGGAGTCAGGTGAGCAGTCAGTTGGCCCAGAGTTCCTCCTTGTCGGTGGGAGGTGGCTGTGAGGTGCAGAGAAGGTCAGGGGGAACTCAGCCTGGATCCTGGCTCAGCCACTTACGGTGTCTATGACCTCATGCAGGTCCTCTCACCACTCCGAGTTTCGAGTTGTTTCTCTTTGTTCTATATGCACATGGACATAATGCCTACCAAACAGCTGTGTTTTAAGGACCTAATAAGCTAAGCTAAATATAATTGAGGGCATAGGCCTTGTCTGTCCTGTTTGCTATGGATTCCACTGTGCCTGGAACCATGCCTGCACAGAAGATGCATGGTAAATACTTTCTGAATTAATAAAGTACATAAATAGTTCTAGGAGATCCAGTACATGCTAGGTGTTGCTTGTTGGTGGCATAACTGATATTAATGTTACCTTGAGACCTAGATTTTGAGGACTTGGTTTTGCATTCTTGCTTCATGTTAAGGTCTAAATGTTGATGTCCCCCCAGAATTCATACGTTGAAAATCAAGTGCCCACTGTGATGGTATTAGGAGGTGGAACTTTTGTGAGTGATTAGCTCATGAGGGCAGAGCCCTCGTGAATGGGACTAGTGCCCTTATAAAAGAGACCCCAGAGAGATTTCTCACCCCTTCCTTCCACCATGTGGGGACACAGTGAGGAGTCAGCCATCGGCAGCCCCAAGGAGGGCTCTCACTAGAACCTGACCGTGCTGGGATGGTAATGCTGGACGTACAGCATCCAGAACTGTGAGAAATGCACCTGTTATTTATAAGCCATCTCGCCGATGGTATTTTGTTACAGCAGCCAAACAGATTAAGACACCCCAATACTGACTGACCAGCTCTATGACCTTGCGTTGGCCATGCAGCTTCTCAATGCCTCAGTTTCCTCATCTGTTAAAGAAGAAAAGTGATAATAATAGCTGGAGAGAAAGGCTGTATGGGGTAATTTAGATAAAAATTCATGTTAAAAAGAACTCTGCATGGTATATTCATACATTTCCATACTAAATGAATGTCAGTTATGTGGAGATATCTCAAAAACATAACATTGGATAAAGCAAAACAAGAAGAAAAAGGTTGTATATTGTATACATAGTTATATACTATTTATACATAATGCTATAATTTACTTAAACATAATGCATATTTAATACTATTTATATGATGTTTAAAAACATGCTAGCTAATACTTAATTTTTTTATGGATAAATACATTGGTAGAAAACATTAAAAAAAATGTGATAATGATAAAGAAAACAGCCAAGAGAGTGCTTACAACTAGATGGAGATGAAGGAAAAGCTTGGGATTTTCAAGTATATTTGCTTTGCCTTATTTCCTAAAACAAAACAAACTCTGAAGCCAATATGGCAAAATGCCAAATTGTAAGTGCTGGGCTCATGGGCACTTACCCTATTACTTTCTATATTCTTTTATGTGCTTACGTGTTTTATAAAGAGAACTATGCACGTGCGAGTTGTAAGTTTCCTTACTGGGGGTGATGCCCAGTCTTATGGGCGGCTGTAGAGCCAGGTGCTCAGGAAATCAGAATGAGCTGAGGCTCCAGGCCTTGTTATTTCAAGTCCTAGACAAGACATTCAGTAGCCAAGGAGAATATCAGAATCCAATCCTCCAGCCCCAGTTGCCTTGGGCTTCTGTGGAGATGTGCTTGCTAACTCCTAAGTGTGTGGGAATGACTCGGGGCGTTCACCACTGCAAGTTACTGCTAATGAGTGAGGACTCTCTGGACTGCCACCAGGCGACTGGGTGGCTGCAGGTCCCAAGTCAGATCAGAGCCACGGACAGAGGTCTGAGCCTGCATTCTGAAAACGTGCTATGCCAGGGGGCTCTGAGAAGAGCTCAGACTTGCAGTAGGAGCCGAGAACCGGAAAGCATGTTGTTTCTGGATGAGCTACAGGAAAGAACAGGTGTCTGGCCAAGAGTCGAGGCTTGAAAGGAACGAAGTGTATCCTAGAGTCAGAAAAAAGTTTGGGGAGAGGGGAGGCTGGTTTCAGAGGCCGAAAGGCTTACAGGAAGAGGTCCGAGCTGAGTGCCCCAGCTCCACTGTGTCCACATTGGCTGGCCTAGTGAACTCTCATCTTCACAAGTGCCTCGCATTTTCCATAAGGGTGTGGTGGTGTTAAGGGAGAAGACAGGCCTGGGGCAGTGAATGACTGACAAGGAGGTATAACGGGGAACAGAGATGCATCCCAAGGTCACTGGCAAAAGAAGGACCTCTGATCCCCGGGGTGGTGACAGAGATCTGTATTGAAATTCAGAAGCATATTAAAGACAGGAAGGGTGGGAAAGAATCCTGAGTCAGAGTTTATGGTATGTTAATTATTTCTCAATAAAGCTGTTGAAAAATAAATAACTAACTAAAGGGCCCAGGAGAGTGGCTGTGAAGCCGCCTTCTGCACACAGCGACTCTGAAGGGGCGCTGGGGCTGGGGGGGGGGCACCGGCCTGCCCCTCCCAGGGTCTGCATGGCTCCCCCTCAGCTCAGCCCTGTGTCCTTGCCCTCAGAGGAATTCCAGGCCCTGCTGAAAAGGCTGCCTGAGGACAGGTTCCTGAACTCCACAGCCATCTCCCAGTTCTGGGCCTTGGACAGCGGCCTGCGGCACCGCTACCAGCAGCTGGGAGACAGCTTGAAAGTGCTGTTCAAGAAGACGCATCGGATGGTCCGCCGGCTCTTCAACCTCTGCAAGCGCTGCCATCGGCAGCCTCGCTTCCGCCTACCCAAGGAAAGGTGAGCACCCCGGGATGCCAGAGCTCAGCACCTCCCCTCAACAGCTGTGACCAGGAAGGACCCTGCGTCCGACACGGGAGACCTGGGGGTGGTGACCCACACACAGCCTTTTAGATTCTCCTGTTACCTTGACCTACTCGCATATCATTCTCAATGATGGGTTGTATCTAAAGTGAGAGAGTGAAAAAAGAGAGGCTAATTTTACGTTTATATAAATGATAGCAGATTCAAACGTTAATTAAATAATACTCTAATGCTCACCTATTTCCATTTCAGTAAGTATTTTAGGAAAGAAAAGGGTCGAGTTAACACTCATACACCAATTGCATGGGATGAGAAATACACACACTGGATTGTTTCAAACAAGCGACCACTCTGAGTCTCAGCTGGAAAGAGAGCGAAGGGCCAGTGCCCTCGGGAACGGGCGCTCACTCATTCATCTGCTCATGCACTGATTTACTCAACACGGTTTTATTAAGTCCATATTGCATGTGCTATTATTAAGCTGTGAGGGATATTTATTAATTGCACAGATTTACAAATGGACAGAAACATAAAAGCTAGAGAATTATAACTATGTGACTGCCACTCAAAAAAAAAAAAGCAGGATATAAGACAACATTGACCTCTACCTATCACCAAAACTTTATACTGAGAATTTTTAAAATCCAGCATTCTTAAGTATTTTTATTTGTCAGAAACATGGTCATGTAGAAGCGAAGGCCAGAGAGAAGAGCCACCTTGGACAAGGTGGTCTTGGCCAGATCATGCGGGAGGAGATGGAGACACGTTGATGCACATGAGACGGAACATTCTAGAAGAGCAGAGCTGCCCTCACAGCAACCCAGATGGGCCACTCCAACTGAGGCATGGGTGATGAGGGAAACACGAGTGGAGAAGACAGACCAGCAAGGGTTTCTAGGACGGGTTCATTTCTTTTTCAACGAATAATTAATGTTTACCAAGCACCAGAATATGTCTAGTTTCTGAGAATGTGTTAGTGAATAATGCAGTGTCCCCCTGCTCTTGTGGCATTTACAGGAAAGGCATCTGTGAGCAAGTCAGCAATAAATAAACAACAATTCCCAATACTGATCACTGCTGTGGATTACAGAGAGACACAGGGTGATGTGACAGCGATGACAGGGTGGCTCTTCTGAAAGGGGAGTCATGGAGGACCTCTCTGAGGAGGTACCATAAGAGCTGAAATCTAAATCTTAAGAGGGAGCCAGTCATAGAAAATCCCTATTCCTGCTGGAAGAGTGACCAAAGCAGAGAGAACAGAAAGGGCAGAGACCGGCAAGTGGGAAAGAAGCCGGCAAGACGTTGGAAAGTTTGGAGAGCCAGGTGTTGGAAGAGCTTACTTAGAAGGCTGCTTTGATAGCAAAGATGCTGGAGAGCTTCTGTGGGCTTTTGAATAAGGGAGTGAGGTGGTCCTTGGGAGGCGTGAGCCTGGTTGCTACCAGAACAAGGTTAATTGAAGCATCTTTTGGTGCAGGCCCATCAGACACCGGGCCCCAGACCCTACGCGGTCTTTCCAAAGAGCTCCTGTGGGGTTTCGATCACTCAGAGAACTTGGGCTTCTACCCTCCTCATCGCCTTCCCTGCCTATTAGCCAACGTCCTGCTACCCTCGGGGAAGATGGCAGTGCGTGGCTTCCTATGACTCTTGCTTCATTTTTATCTCCTCTCCCAAAGGTCCTTGTCCTACTGGTGGAACCGAGTCCAGTCCTTGCTCTACTGTGGAGAAAGCACCTTCCCTGGCACCTTCCTGGAACAGAGCCACAGCTGCACCTGCCCCTACGACCAGTCTTCCTGCCAGGGCCCCATCCCATGTGCCTTGGGGGAAGGGCCTGCCTGTGCCCACTGCGCTCCGGACAACAGCACGCGCTGCGGGAGCTGCAACCCGGGCTACGTGCTGGCTCAAGGGTTGTGCCGGCCGGAGGTGGCCGAGTCCCTGGAGAACTTTCTGGGGCTGGAGACAGACCTGCAGGACCTGGAGCTGAGGTACCTGCTGCAGAAGCGGGACAGCCGCATCGAGGTCCACTCCATCTTTATCAGCAATGACATGCGTCTAGGCAGCTGGTTCGACCCCTCCTGGAGGAAGCGCATGCTGCTCACCCTCAAGAGCAACAAGTACAAGCCTGGGCTGGTGCACGTGATGCTGGCCTTGTCCCTGCAGATCTGCCTCACCAAGAACAGCACCCTGGAGCCTGTCATGGCCATTTATGTCAACCCCTTTGGGGGCAGCCACTCTGAGAGCTGGTTCATGCCCGTGAATGAGGGCCGCTTCCCTGACTGGGAGAGGACTAACGTGGATGCCACTGCCCAGTGCCAAAACTGGACTATCACCTTGGGAAACAGGTGGAAGACCTTCTTTGAGACAGTCCATGTTTACCTACGGAGCCGAATCAAGTCCCTGGATGACAGCTCCAATGAGACAATCTACTATGAGCCCCTGGAGATGACTGATCCCTCCAAGAACCTGGGCTACATGAAAATCAACACCTTGCAGGTCTTCGGCTACAGCCTGCCCTTTGACCCGGATGCTATCCGGGACTTAATTCTCCAGTTGGATTACCCGTACACTCAAGGTTCCCAGGACTCTGCCCTCTTGCAGCTCATAGAGCTTAGGGACCGGGTCAACCAGCTCTCTCCACCTGGCAAAGTCCGGCTGGACCTTTTCTCCTGCCTGCTCCGGCACCGGCTCAAGTTGGCCAACAACGAGGTGGGCAGGATTCAGTCCTCCCTGAGGGCTTTCAACTCCAAGCTGCCAAACCCCGTGGAGTACGAGACAGGCAAACTCTGTAGCTAATGGGGGGCCCACTCCGGCACTGGGCAGGGAGAGGAGCCAGAAATCAGGGTGCAGTGGTCATCCAAGCCCTCACCTTGGTGCCAATAAGGCGCTCCCTTGAGACTTTCCGCACCCAGCAGATGGGACCTCGGGGCTTGGACTGAAGCAGGCAGGAGAGAAAGAAACAGCCACTGCACACATGCACACACTCACCTTGCGTGTGCACACGCGTACACACACATGCACACGCACACGCACACACTCCCTCCCTTCCTTGGGGAGGCTGCAGCTCAGCAGCCTGGCATCTGCAAAGTCGGTGCTTTCTAAAACGAATGCAGTTGAAGGAAAGGAGCCAAGGGAGAGATTAGGCAAAAGAACCAGCCAAACCATGAAACAAACAAATCCTTAAAAGTGATTCTTATCATTCGAGGAAGCAAGAGGGGGCAGAATGGGAGGAATAGGCGTTCTCCCTCTCCTTCTGTGGAGTCACTTTTGTATTCTTTTTAACCAGATTTCTTAAAATGGCGTTGTTTCGTGATTCCCCACAGTGGTTCCTACTTTTTGTACTCTGCCTCCTCTCTGCGCCCCCGGACACTGACTGCTCCTCGAGCCGGCTCCCTTAGGAAGCAGGAGAAGTGGCACCAACAGAGGACCGCTCAGGGCGGGCAGCTGGCCTTGCTCCGTCTCCCCTCCCCCCGCCCCCCTTTGGCCCCCTTCCTTCCATGGCCTCCCCAGTTCCGGGGCCCTGGCTTGGCCCACGTTCCCTTGTGGTCCAGCCAGAGTCCCCCTTCCAACAGCACCCTTACCGTCTAAGAAAGCAGCCCTGTCAAGTTAGAGAGAGACAATGTATAGGGAAATGTTCTTTTTTAAAAACAAAAACAAAAATATTTATTTTGTGATTGTTTTCCTTGTCAATCTGCTCCAGCTACATGAAACATACGAGTAAAAATTTACCTGGTTTAATATATTTTTCAGAAGGCCTTTTTTAGGGGGAAAACATGAAAGAGAAAAGAGAAAAAGAGTCTAGTTCCCTGGGTTGCCTGGGTTTTGTTTTGTTTTAATTGCTCTGTGGGTGACACGTGGGTGTCCATAGATGGTGGATAATGCTTTGTGGGAGGCTGGTTGATTATTGTGTACACAAGCGAACACATGCCTGGCTTGACTGTGTGTGTGCGTGTGTGCGTGTGTGCGTGTGTGTGTGTGTGTGTGTGTGTGTGTG